GGCGCGGGCGTCGCGCGTCGATCTCGACCTGGTGGTCCTCGTTGACCGTGTTCACGTGGTAGACGACCTGCGGCGCGCGGGCGGCGTGGCGGCGGCGCGGGTCCGGGGTCGCCGTCGCACCTTCGTCAGCTGCGCGATCTTCTTCGCCATGAGGTGCTTGCACTCATCGCCGCCGTCCGGCGGCCCGCCGCTCGACGCGCGCCGCGACATGGGCGTCGAAGCGCTACACCACCATCGTTTCAGCGGGGCAGCCCCGCTGCGCCGGCAGGCAGCAAACGACGCTTTTGATCGTTGGGGGGATAAACTGCGCCGGAGGCCAACTGCGACAGGCAAGTCCCCACACGCATCCGAGCGCCCTCTTATCGCGCCGCGCAGGCCGGCCCCGACTGGAAGGTCGCGCAGAGGTTCGCGTTCGCCTCGGCGCAGAGCCCCGCGGGGAGGCACTGGCAGTCGGCCGCGGCGCAGCGCGCGACGCGCCACGCGTCCTCGCCGCCCTCCGGCGGCGCGGTGAGGCCGTCGACGCGCGGCGGCGGCGCGGCGGCGGCGCAGGCGTAGTCCTCGACGCAGTGCGGCGGCGGGCCGGCGTACTTCGCCGGGTAGCAGCTCCGCCACCAGTAGTAGTCGAGGAAGGGGAACGCGTCGACGGGCTGCGGCGCGACCTCGACGCCGCGCGCGCGCGCCGTCGCCATGAGCAGCGTCTCCACGGACGAGAACGCGAGCGACGAGTTCGCGAGCTGGGCCCTCGCGCGGAGCCAGGGCGCCGCGAGGTAGCGGGGCAGCGCGGCAATCTTGTCGTTGACGCCCGACCAGTCGAGGCACCGCTTCGTCGCGACCGCGTCCTTGGGCAGCCCCGCGACGTCCGCGACGTCGCCGAGCCACCGCGCGTCGCCGCGCACGAGCAGGACGTAGTCGTAGGGGTTTTCGGGGTCCTCGGCGGCCTCGAGGTGGTCCAGCGCGGCCTCGCGGATGCGCAGGTGGCCCGCGGCCGAGGCGACGTCGCGCTGGATCTTCTTCCGCCGCCGCCGCGGCCGCTGCTTCGTCGGCGCCGCGTTGTCGGCGACGGCGGGCTCGAAGTCGTCGGCGTGGGCGCGCGCCACGCGGAGCGCGTAGCGCCGCGCGCCGCGCGCGAGGCACGCGGCCTCGAGCGGCGCGAGCGCGCGCGCCGCGGCGGCGCCGACGGCCGCCGCGTCCCAGGCCTCGGCCGCGCGCGCGGCCGCGACGGCCTTGGGCGCGAGCGACTCCGGCGCCGCGACCGGCGACAGCCGCGGCAGGCGCGCCCAGCGCACGGTGTCGAAGGCGAACATGTCGCGCAGCGCGAAGGGCTGGGCCGTGACGAGCACGTCGACGCTGTGGCCGAAGGAGACGAGCGGCCGCACGACGCGGTCGGGGATCGTCGAATTCGGGTCGAAGCGCTCGATCTCGCCGATGAGGAGGAGCGCGATGAGCATCGTCGCAGTATCCAGGAGCGACCGACTGCGGCGCGTCCCAGGTGCTGGTCGCGGCGCCCTGCAAATGCTCGAGCCTTTGCGAATGCAGCAGATCAAAGCAGCGGCAGCCCCATAATGCTCAACAACAAGCGTGTTGTTGAATACTTGTTGAAGGGAAACATAGCCCGAAAGTGGTATGGTCACTCCTGACGCTTGCGTGGCCGAGCTGCAGCGCCCGATGTCGCAAATGCAACCCATTGACCTGACGCAATCGGACGACGACGCAGCGATGCCGCTCCAGCAGCGCGCCGAGGCCGCGGAGGCCTTCAAGCGGTCGCGCGCGGCGGCCGAGGCCGCGGAGGCCTTCAAGCGGTCGCCCGCGGCGGCGCCGCTCAACGCGGCGCCGTCCGGCAATTGGCGCGCGCAGGGCGACAAGCGCGAGTGCGACTGCGACGGCCTCGCCGGCCGGCAGTTCAAGAACTTCAGCGCGGCCTGCCGGCACTACGAATTCCCGGGCAGCCACCAGGTCGGCAGCTACGGCCCCAAGGGCCGAGGCATCGTTCGCACCTACAGCAATGCGACGCCGGGCAAGGATGTCGTGCTCGACGACGGACACCTCTTCCTCTATCGCCTCAAGGACGAGGCCGTGCGCGTGCAGTTCCGCGTCAACCTCGAGCGCCGGCGGGAGGTGCGCGTCTTCCGGAAGGTCTCGTCCGGCGTCGTCGAGCTCGGCTTGTTCCGCGTGGAGGGGTTCGTGCCCGCGGGGCCGGGCGACCAGGTCGGCCAGTTCGGCCGCGAATTCGTCCGCATGGTCCGCGCGGACGCCGCGTCGCAGCCGCGCGCGGCGCCCCTCGAGGCCGCGCGGTCCCGCAAGCGGGCGCGTAAGTAAAGAGCAAAAATAACAGTAGAACGGCGGCGACAACGGACGCGATACACGCGGTCCTCGCCCAGGGTGGGGTGCGAGGCCGGAAGCCCGCGCCAAGGGGTCGAGCGCGACGATGCTCGCGGCCTTGTTGTCTCGTCACGTGAGCAGATCGGCCACCGCTCCAACGGCCGTCACGCCGCCTCCCACGGCATTCGAGCGGCCCCGCGAGTAGCTCCGACGTAGCTCGCGGGGCCGCCTCGCACGACGGCGGACGCAGCTCGCGCGACCCGCCCGCGGCCGGCGCCCTGCGCGGCGACGACGGCGCGCCCGAGCGGCGTGTCGGGCCAGGCGACGAGCTCGCCGTCCACGGCGAGCACGGACGCGACGGGCCGGGCGACCGCGGAGAAGCGCGGCGACGCCGGGTAGGCGAGGGGCTGCGCCGTCGACGCCGACGGCGCCGGGTAGGCGACGGCCGCGGCCGCCGGCGCCGCCGAGCCGCGCCGCGCGGCCGCGAGCTCCGCGCGGAGCCGCTCGATCTCGCGCGTCGCCGCCGCGAGGTCCGACGGCGCGGCCCCGCCCGGGGGCGCGCCGGAGGCGGCGCGGCTCGCGTCGCCGGGCGTCGTCCACGCGGCGGCGGCGCCGCCGCGCGGCGACGGGTTCCAGACCAGCGCCGTCGCGCGCGGCGCCGCGGCGGCGGCGACGGGCGGCGCGCTCGGCCGCGGCGCGGCGGCGGCGACGAGCGGCGCGCTCGGCCGCGGCGCGGCGGCGGCGACGAGCGGCGCGACGGGGAGCGTCGAGTCGCAGCTCAGCGCGACGGCGACGGCCGCGCGGACCTCTGACGGGCGCGGCTCCGCGGCGGCCGCGCGGACCTCGGACGGGCGCGGGATCGCGGCGGCCGCGCAGACGGGCGCGGCTCCGCGAGGAACGGGTCAGAGGTGCGGCTCGGAGGTGTTGGCTCGGCGCGGAGGTGTTGGGTCGGAGGTGCGAGGTCCGCGAGCAGCGCGCCCGTGTAGGGGTTGCGCGCGCCCGCCTGGCGCGCGCGCGCGGCGGCGACGTCGAAGCGCGCGCTCGCGCGGACGTCGACGTCGCTGCGGCGCGGCGCCGAGGACTCGACGGCCGAGGCCTCGAGACCGTCGTCGACGTCGGCGACGCGCGCGAAGATGGGCCGGAGCCGGCCGATCTTCGCGGCCTGCGACGCCGCCGCCTCGAAGCCGAGGAGCGCGCGGCCGTCCGGCGGCGACAGGTCCGCGACGAGGACCTTGCCGCGGCGGCCGAGGTGCGAGTCGCGGTCGGCCGACGCGAGTTGCCCGGTGCCGCAGTCGAGCCCGAGGACCGCGCTGCGGCCCTGGGACGTGCGGAGGCGGACGTAACGAGACGGA